CCTTCCTTCCTTCCTTCCTTCCTTCCTTCCTTCCTTCCTTCCTTCCTTCCTTAAATCTACATACTCTATTCAATTGCAAGCATGAAGCAAAATGTGTAGCAACTCTATGTTGATTACCTTGTTTCAGTTGGTAAATTTTTATTAGTAAAAGGTTTTCAACCAGTAGAAATCATGTGATGAATTGTCTAACAAGGATTATATCACTCTCTGTAGTGACGAGTTTAAAAGGGTCTGCATCGTCTCCTGCGGAGGAGAGACATCGCAAGTCTCCAGTTTCTTTTCTTATGTGTTATTTCTTTTTTTTTAATCACATCAAGCCAAGAGATGATTTGTTGGCCCTGTTGACACAAGTTCAAGCCCCTGCTACAAGTGTTGTCAGAGCCAAGTGTTACACAGCGGTGCATCAAAGCAGAAACATTCAGCAGAAGGGTTTTTAACTATTATCTGTGTGAGCGAAAAGCCTTTGAGGGTACAATCTGTGTCTTTTGTCATCTGTGGGGTTCCCTGTTTGCCTTATCTGCTCTCTCTCTCTCTTTGGCTTCAGCTTCACCCCCCCTAAAAAAAATAAAATAGATCTCAAAGTCGTGTACAAAGGATTTCCTGGAGGCAGGGGAAAGATAAACTCTGACAGGTGGCTTCTTTGGATTAGTCTTGTTTTGGAGGATGTTGGTGGGGGGGGACAGATAAACAAGCTATTCAAATGAAAAGGGGAGGTGGGGGGGCTGATAAGGATGACTATAAGTTAGACAGCAGTGATCTAGTGTTTATCAAAAAAGCTCCAGAGTGTTCTGTGCTTCGACGCTCGCACACCTTATTGATATGACAAACCTTTTTCCTCTGCGGATTTGTAAAGGCTCGCTGCCCTTTTCTATCTGCCACGTGCGTCTGCATCCCCTCCCTGCAAAAAAAGATTTCTTCATGCCGCTACCTTTAAGGAAAAAAATGTTTTTCGTTTCTTGTTAATTTCTCTTTTGTTTTTTTTTTTACATACCAACAGCACAGTGATTTATTTTATGTCAGCATCTAAAATATGGGACTAATTGCGGCTTTTCCTTTCATAGCAGGTGAGATTGAGAGTGAAAGCACCCCCAGCAGCGGCAATCAGGAAGTGACATTGGCTGAGGGTTTTGGGAAGCTATACCCCAGCGCTCAAACCAACCAGCAGCAAGAAGAGAACAGCGACGACGAACAGGATCTCATGTCGGATGTCATCTCCAGGAGGGAGCTGGAGAAAGGCCGGTTGTCCAGAGACGGTAAAAACAGTGGCTGGTATTTATTTAATTTAACACGACAGAGCTTGAGCTATTTTCCAAAGAATGAGCAAAGTTGGTCCTGCTGAACTGGTTTCAAAAGCAGAGTTTAACAAGTTAATGTGGGGAGCTGATCAGAAAAGCATGCCACACTTTTCAGAGCTTTATTTAAAAAGATGTAAGATGGATATTTTTTTCTTCCAATTTCTACTTCCTGTTTCCGTTACTCCCATCCCCAGACGCTCTAGGAGTGTAAATAACGATTATTTATTCATGTGCTAATTAATTAAACCAGGGGAAACTAAAATGTTTCCACTTGTGGAATTCTAAGCATACAGCATATTGATAGACAAAAATATCTCTATTTTTTTCTTTTTTTTACCTTAATTGCAAATTGTTTACGTTTTTACAATTTTGGTGTAATTGCTGCTCAAGGTAGGTTGCTAGGTCAGCTAACGGCATCTCTATAGTCCAGTTAACAATTAATTGATTACTAAATTAGTTGATTATTATTTCAGTAATCGATTAATCACAATCCGTTTAATTGTTTCAGCCCTAGTTTGACCTCACAACATCGAGCAACAGGCTTGTTTCTAAACAAAACCCAACATGTTGTACGTCTTTAGGGTCAGGCGGTCCTAAAAAAAAAAGACCATTATCTTAATCGTAAGCCAGCCATCCACCACAAATGGCAATAATAATCTATGATCAAATTAGAAGTCGTAATTTTCACTTTTTACCTTGTTTTCGTCTTCTGGCATTTCTACAAGACATTCTGTCCTGTTATAAATGGGCTCATTTATGCCACAGAAAAGTAATGTCCACTTGTATTTCCCATAAAATAAATTACAGTGTTGTAAAAATCCTCCAAAGTTAATTTTTTTCCATGAAGAAGTAAAAATATAAGGATATGTCCAGCATATCTATTTTATATGGGCTTTTTCCATAATCTGTTGGCTCCCGAATCTAGCAGAATGGGTTGGAAGCATCCTTCATGTAAGGAAGCACACTTCTATAATCGTGGTGTTTCTGGACTGGCTAACTCAGTGACCGACCAAACTTTGGCATATTTTGTTAGCCAATAAGATGAGCTTTGCAATGCTTTGGCAAAGTGTAGGGGAGTCTGAAAAATAGTGTTTGTTTATGGACTTAAGGAGTGAGAGGAAAGGGGAAATATTTGGATATGCTCAAAAATTGAAAATATAAAAGAAAGTGTTTTAATGATAATCTATGCAAAGCTACACATAGACGTGTGTTTTATGGTCAAATTACTGTATCCACACTATAGAGCGCACCTCACTATAAGCCGCGGCCACTAAATTTTTTGAAATAACTGGAAGCGTGGATATATAAGCTGCACTGGGCTAAAAGACGCTGATATCTACTGAACTGTCTCCCATGAAACCTGTAGAGGGAGCTCTACATATACCCCCTAGAGTAGGGATAAAGAAGAATGCTAGCTCTCGTTAGCTTGTTGGCTCGCAGAAGTAAGAGCTTTTACTAAAAGATGGAGCTCTTTATTTCAGCTCTATAGGAGTTGAGCCCAGTCTCTTCATTGGTTCGGCAGCTTTAATGCGGGAAATAAAAGGCAAAATGTGTGAATTCGGGGCATTTGTTCTCCGTCGTACCTGCTGCTAGCATGTTTTAGTGCTAAATGAAAGTTAGCCCTTATTCTTTTATTTCCAACTTTGACTCCCCCCTCTGGAGGTTAGGAAAATTCCACAGAAAAGCCGCAACTTCTTATAAGCCGCATGGTTCAAAGCATTGGAAAAAAGTACGGGCTTGTAGTCCTGAAAATACAGTAGCCATAATATTCAAATAATCCCGTTTGGCACTTTTGGCCCCAATTTGGATCCATTGTGCTGAATGGTCCTTTTGCATACAAAAAGGGTCACAGTTCACAATGCTTATGACTAGAGCTCTGACATGTTTACACAGCTGTTGTCCACAATATCTGTAGTGAGTTGGAGAGGTCAACTAGGATTTATACCATAGATATGAAATTTTAAGGGAAAGCAATTTATTTATTTTTTTGGACATGTTTAAAGAAAAATCTCAAGTTTACAGAGTCTGTTCTCATAGCTCCAGAAACCAGAAGACTTTAGCTTTCAAATGAGATACATCACAAACATTTATAACAACATTTTATGTTATTTATGGGATTGATAATGTTATCATAATTATTTACTGGTCAATTGGCATTTGGGTATGCAGTACGTTTGTGCACAAGCTATAAAAAGGTGAGCGCTAAGGGGTTATTCACGTAAAAAACAGATAAATACATTACATTTTTGGGTGGTGACGTGCTGAAATGTGAAAGAGAACTCATCTAAAGCTATTGAAGACAGACAAAAAATAAAAAAATAAAACCAACGGGCAGCAAAATTCTTTAAAATCAATAAACATTAGCAGAAGCTGGAGGGATATGTCTACGTGCCCACAATGGCAATATCCCTCCTTTCATGTAGGTATTACAGAACAGCTGTAACGCTCTAATTTCCTCCTCACACTCTCTGTTTGGAGGTGACGCAACAAACCCAGGATGCTGTAGTTTGTTTGAAATGCATATTAGAATAATCTGGGAGTTATTCTCAGAGACATTGCACCTAATTAAAAAAAAAAAGTGAAAGCGGGGGGTGGGGGGAATCAAACGTAAAAACTAGAGACGGTTGAATCTCTCAGTGAAGGAGGAGCTGCTGGTGAAAGTTTAATATCAGCAAGAACTTCTCTTTTTTTTTTTGTTCTGTGAAAAGAAAAAAAGGTGAAGTTTCTTTGTATCTGTTGTGAGATGCTGGGAATGTGGTCAGCGGCGGCTCATTATTACCATTGTTAAATAACAGCTGCAAATCATCAACGCTTTACCTGTCTGGAAAACATTTCCAGCCTCCAGGCAGAGAAGAGACAAATGAAACCACCCAGACCTATAGATTCAGGCACTGCAGAGCTCAGGCCTCCGTCCCACATTTAATAAAACATTGAGCGTTTGAGATGCAGTGACTTTGAATTGGGCAGCTCTGTGATCCTTTATACACGTTTTTTTTTTTTCATTCACCTTGCATCAATTTTTTTTCCCTCTCTCCTCAGAGATTAAAAGGATGTCTGTTTTTAAAAATTATGAAGCTGGTGAGCCGACCTGCAGATTGTACGTGAAAAACATCGCAAAGCAAGTGGAGGAGAAGGTAGGTCCAGCTGTTGTGTTTTGACCCACTTTCATAGTTATTCCAAATCTGAACATCTGTTTTTGTTTTGTTTTTTTTGGCCAAACACCCACCAATATACATTTTGTTATACCAAAGCCGGTTAATTTCATTTCTTGCAAGAAAAAATCTAAATGCTGCTGATTTTTGTTTGACAAAATGACTTTAGTGCTGATTGTCTTTGATTCTTCCAGGACCTGCGCTACATCTATGGGAGATACATCAACCCGTCATCCGAGGCCGAGAGAAACATGTATGTAAACATTTAAGATTTATTTCTCATGCGCCATTGCACCCAGTTTTTCTCCTCTTTGAGCTATTTTTGTCTCCGGCAATTATTCAGTTCCTCCTGAGAGCTTCCTGTAATTTGTGCTGACTGTGGCGTGCGTTTTTAATAAGTACCAATACCAAGATCATGAGGGACATTTTGATGTTGTTGCATCAGCACTATCTCATATAGACGTGGCCAGACTCCTGTGAGAAACGAGAACAAGACGAGGATCAGGTTTGCTTTTACTAACCTTTGGTTTATATATTATTTATTATACATTATTTCCTTTAGGTAGGAAAAAGAAAAACATAGTAAATCAATCAGATTCACAAACAAACTAATTAAATAAATATGAATATCTTTATTAAAGTTAAATTAAACTATTACTAAAAAAAATATTTTTTTTTAATTTAAACACGATTTTGAAATGTTTAAGAATATACACTTATATAATACTAAATAATCATTTATATCATAATTTCATGGTTTCTCTGTGACAGTGCACATCACTTAAACTTTCACTCAATAAATTGACTATGCACTGCAAAAGCTATTTAAGAATAAGTGAATTTTTCTTAAAATAAGTGTATTTACTCTTAATTCGAGTCGGTAAATAAGATGATTTGCCATTGGAGTGAGTATTTTTACTCTTAAAGTAAGATAATTAGATATTACAGATTTGAAATATGAAATATTGTTAAAGTGTCTTAACTTACCTGCTCAATTCAAGATAAAATGCACTTTAAAAAAAAATAAAAAAAATAAAACTGACTTATTTAGATTTCAGTTTTTTGCACTGTGATTGGATAAAATGTAGAACTCGTCAGATTTTTGCAGTCCAATCACCTTAGACTGTAGCAGAAGTTCTTAATCCTGGTACTTGGACCTGCCACAATAACAAATTTTGCTGAAGGATTAATTGTCTCAAAAATTATTGTGATAAACGATAATATTGTTTTACAACCTTTTTACACTGATTTAATGGAAATGACATAATAATGCATGCATTTTCCTGCCAAAGATAAACACACTTTATTTTCAACAGAACACTTAACATTGGAACTGGTTAACAAAATAAAAAGAGAAATAAAAATCAAATGGACTCTCAGTCTCTGTTAACTAAAAATACACTTGAATAAAAACTAAACACAAGATAAAACCACAGTGGAAATAAAAAACTCAATGCCAGCTTTTCAACAATATTAAATGGGAGCATCTCTTTAGCAATTAAAGGAACTAAAATGAGGAAGAGGAGGGGTCAGTGGATAGCACTGGAGTTAAGCCTTTTCATCCAGGGTCAACAGTAGAAAGAGAAAAACATAGGCAGAGACGATATAGCCGATAAATTAAATGACGTGGATAGTTTTTATTTATCGTGCGATTAATTGATTTATTGATTATCGCGACAGGCCTACTGGTACTCAGGTGCCTCTGCTAGGCACACTAGATTTCCCCTCACCGCCACACACCTGATATATCAAAGGCTGTGTGCGATTTAATCGGCTGCATCTTCCAAGGACCCGCTCCACCTTGATTGGGTCCCTCAGAGGTAGTGGAAGTAGATTCAAACAGGTCCAGCATTATCTGGCTGTCACTGCTAAACTTCTAACTACTGTTCTGTGTGCAAATTTTTATTTCTGAGGAGTTTCCGCAGCAGTACTGTCATGGCAGATATCAGATCTATAGCCCCCGCACTGCAAAGATATTGGCATCTGTACTGAAATATCAGCCAAACCCATTTACACAGATAAGACCTTTCAATAAACCAACACACCACATATGTGACTCAATAACCATTTCAATTAACTATCTTCATTAATTTAAGACCAAAATATTCACATACTTGCATTTTATTAAACTGCACTTCCAGTATTCATCACTGTTTTGCGCCATTTCCCTTTTTCCTCTGAGCACAGAGCTGTCGGCCTGCTTGGATTTGCAATGAATCATGGGATACCCAAAGCTATGGAGGATCCCCTGGTCCTGATCCAAAAGGCAAAAAGAAGGCTACATTTGTCAGCCATGAATCTGGTCTTCATTGGACGTAGCTGCTGAATTCACACACAGCACATAACTGACAGGCTTCTGCAACACCTGAAGATCTGCTTAGGAGCTCATCTCAGAGTATTAGATTATTGTTAAAAAAATGTTGCAAAAAAAAAAATATGATTGCGTCAAATCTTAATTAGCTAATTGAGAACCGTGGAAAAGGTTTCCCTGGCCTCTAAATGGTCATTTAGTCTGGGTCTGTATCCAACACTCAAGAGAAAGACTGCTGACTTTTCCTAGAAAATTGAGTGGAGGGAACACAATGAGCTGGATCACATGCATCAGCAGCAAGGAAGGTTTGGTTAGACTAAGGATGCATATCAAGAACCGCTATACTCAGGTGAGGGCTCCACATAAACAGGATTAGGTTTCTGCTAAGTCTTTTAAAGTCCTGATTTCAGAGGAAAGAAAGGCTTTAATGGGAAGATTCTACAGTGAGGGAGGACTTTCCATGTCATTGGGTTAAGTGACTGGTTTGGCCTGAACCTCACGAAGATCTGAAGGCCGCTTTCAAGGCAAAACCTCAGCAGAACTAGAGGCTGGTCGTCTGTATGCCGCGCTGCATTGATGCAGCAAATCCTGATATATAAATAATAATGTGATCATTTATTTATTACAAAGGGTTACATTTGACCTACCACAGATGATATTAAAGCTCTACTTTTTTTAATTTGACAGGTCATCTTCTACCCTGAGAAGTCAAAGAAGTGACAACAATCAATGCAAAATGAGATGTTTATTAAAGTAGATTGGGTGTGATATTAGGCGGAGTGTTTATTTTACCGAAAGCTTGTTGTCAGCTGTGATTCCCAGGATTTACTGAGGTGGAAGTGTGTTTTTATGAACTGCTTCCAGAGAAAAAAGCCTGAAAGGACACACGCCCATCAGCTGCAGATCCTGAACTGAATGCTAAATAAACTTTAAAGCCTCCAGTTGCTTGTCTTCGGTAGAAATCAATTGTTGGGATTTAAAGCCCGCAGGTTGTTGGGCATCGCAGACCCATTGGGTTTTATGTGCTCACAGAAGCAGATAACATTTTCCCCGTGTCACAGCGAATGTGGCGCGGCATGTCGCTGAGCCGGACGGGCCACAGACGCGGCGCGATAATGATGTGTCCCCGCTTTTGCTTTGTTCCCCAGGTTTGACATTGTGTTAATGAAGGAGGGACGGATGAAAGGCCAGGCCTTCATAGGACTCCCAAACGAGCTGAGCGCAGAAAAAGCCCTGCGGGAAACCAACGGCTTCGTTCTACACGACAAACCCCTCGTCGTCGTATCCTTTTATCCCCCTCTCGCAGGATGAAACGAGAACAGGGGCTTTTTAAAAGGAGTGTAACTGCAGGCTTTGTGTTTTGGTAAAGGTTTAATTAGTTTTTGTTGTGAAGGCATGCAGACACACCAAAAAAAAAAAAAAAAAACACATTCTGTTTGATGTCAAAAGGTTTAGATGCAGTTCGAATCCACCCCATTTTCACCAGTGGGGGAAAAAAAGAGCAAATGAGAGCATGTTTTACATGTGGCCCAGGTAAAAAGAAAACAGTTGATCATAGTTAGTGTGTTTATCAAAACATCCCAGGGAACAGGTGAAGTATTTTGGTTTATTAAGTGAACCCTCCCCTTCACAGATGTGTTTTTGCTGTTACCCTGGATGCTTTCAGGAGGGTGAGGACTGATTCTGGAAGCTTTGAACCACCACCTGCTCTTCCTGCTTTCTCAAAGCTAATTATGCATCAACTTTTGAACCTGCCGCACGAAGCAAGGCTTCTGATTCTAATGCTCTTTATTTGCAGCATGTTAGTTATTTCCTCAAAGTTGAAGGGGTTTGTCGTTCTAAATCTAAAACCTGGGTTATTGTAAGAAGGAATGCAGGGCTCACATTGATCGAGAAAGTTTTCCACATAATTCAGCTTATTTTGTTTGGATTTTATGAGTTAAGCTAGCTTAAACTTTTTCCTACTTGTCAATTGGTAGAAAAGGAATCACGGTTTTCCGGCTGTTCTTGCAGGTAAAAGCTTTCCACAATTTGTTACTAGGTGTCTGCACTGCTAGGGCTGGTTTTATCCAGGGTAAAGAGAGATGGATAGAGATGCATGCCACATAATTTGGGTGTTTCCCTCAATTTCATATTCATTCACTTTATTATTTGGCCTCTCACATACGTAGGTTTCCTTTGAATTTTGTAATGAAAATTTGAAAAGCTTCATAAAACTTGAATCCGTTATCAAGTTGGTGTATTTCTGTTTAGCTGTCCTGCATTTCAGTTTAAAAAACATAGTTAATATCTAACCAAAATGTACAAACCAGCAGATTATTGAAATGTTATATTTGAAAAATAGGCTAATAATGTCATTTTCTTTCATTTGGGTTTTATTTGAACTTGAAACCATGTCCTGTAACCAAGAGCGTTTAGTGTTAAATTTGGTTGAAATAGATAAAATCCTTAAAATAGATCGATAGATAAAACTTTTAAATCTTTCTCTCATCTAAATCACTCATTTGTGACTTATATGAGGTGGAACTGCGATGATAAACTCCTTATTGTATCTAAGCCAATCATCTTTATTTGCTCTGTTTTGAGTTAAGTCATAGAGCAGCTTTTTTTAGTTCTGTCTCACCCCCCCACCTTCATGGCACAGAGATAACTTTATCTTTTACCGAAGGAGAACTTTAAATTCTAAATTAATTTAAAAAATTTAACAACGGAAGACTTTCCTATCAAGCTTTACATGTTCTAACCGAGTCTGACCCAGACAGAACCTTCAGAACTTCCCCTTCAATTGAATTCATCACTATACTGCAACTTAATTGTTTCAAAGGCATGATAGAGAAAACTGATTGGATGAAACAATATGAACCAAAGACAATATAAATGTATTTAAAAAGCACTGAAGAGACTAAATTGAACTCCTCTGCGTTGCTGAGACTCCAAATAAGAACAAAATGAATTTAAGGGCTAAAAATAATTGGATTTTACTGTGAACACTTTCTACTAGAAATCATAGCGCTAATAAAATTAGAAATACTCTGAAGTAATCTAAAAATACAAATTGGAATCATCAAAGTGGTAAATTTTGTATTTATATCGAGCTTTAGTCATACTGACCACTCAGAGCTTCACTTTCACCACATTTAGCCACTCGTTCTTTTAAACACTGACACAAATAAGTACACAGATTGGTAGTTAACTTGACCCTACATGCATTACCAAGATAAAGTGGCTGGAAGTGAAACAAAAACTTGAGACGCACCGATCCAATTTTTTTCCAATTCAATACCGATACCGATCTGGTTCAACTGTCTAATGAATGAACCTTATGCTGTATCTTGCTATGTAAGTTAAGGATTTAGCCTTGATATAAACATTGTTTGAAAAAGGAAAAATAATTAGCACAGATATAAATATACTTCATATTATTTATTAACAAATAAGCAGCAGAAGAAATAAATTAATATTAAGATTTGAAGACAACTACTCTTCGCTCTTTAAGAGCTGATTTATACTATACTAGAAACCAGGTCCTCTGCATGTGTGTCGCAGTGAACGCAAATGTGCGTCCGCTCCTGCCGCAGACACTCTGCTGCACCTCTCCAAAATTGTAGGTGACCGCAGACAGGAGGCCTCTGATTGGTCAAATCTACATCCGCTCTACACTATGCGTATTTCCTGTTTGGTACTGTTTGTATGACCAGCATTGTGGAAAACGACTCATGAAGATGGACCAGCTAGAAGGAGAAGGTGCGAGAACACTGGGACCCTTTCCACCTGGATCTCCGCTCTTTTTCACCCTCATGTTCCTCCGTTGTTGCACACTTGCCCCCACTTCCTCACCACCTCGGCCATATCTAGACCCACAGCTAGTTTGTGATTGTCCCTCTTGCCTTGTGGCGTGGAATAACATAGCGCAGACCATGCTTCAATATGGGGAATAAAACAAAAATATCTGCGACAAGCTCACTGCGACACACTGCTGTGGGAGGATAAGCAGCCCTTAAGCCTCAATATCTCTTATATCATGACAGTTTAACCCAGATTTAAGTTTTTTACAATAAGTTTTCTAAAACATTTTAGCTACATTTTATTTAATGGTCAAATTTTCTAGATTGTTTAGGGTTATTTGTAGTAATGTGTAAAAGTACTGGGCATGTTTTAAAAGATTGGTTCGAATTTTACCTCACAAGGACATCTGAAGGTCAATGAGTGTTTGTAATGCTGAGGATAACCAGTATAATTCCCTCTAATAGTTTATTGAAAGCTCAGCTGGAAACCGTCCAGTCACCCTGATGCAAAACCCCCCACCTGATATACTGGTAGATTAAATTGTTAGGTTTATCATCAGTTTAAAGTTTTTTCCAAATCCTTTCATTTTTATTTAACCTGTCATAGAGGTGGCAGCGTTATTAATCTGTGCAGTTGTCAGAGGTTGTTACAGTGCAACCGATGCAGCTTAAGAAAACAAGAAGTACGAGCTCTCATAAGGTCAGTGTTGGCCACTGGTCTTCTGACCTTCTGTGGAAACAGCTGCTACCGTTTCCTCGAATAAAATTAATAGGAGTCACGAGGGAAAGAGCTCCAAGCTGTATCGTGCAAGCTTGTCTAGAGCACAAGTTCTTGGTTCTGTTTGATATCAAAGCTGCAGCTGCATGAAACTGACACCCCAGGTTTTCTACTTATTGTTTTAAATATACTAAAGCTTTTCACTTCTTAAATGTGACCTAAAAAAAATTAGCTTTCATATTTCTGAAACAAATGATAATTTTTACTGCAAAAACTTGCACTAACACGTTTTTTCACGTTGGTGGGGTGTTGCCTTCAAGCACCTCAGACCTGTTACTGGAAAGCATGTCACTTTTTAAAGGAAGTTCGCTAACTTTAGTCACACACCTGTTGATGCACAGAGTATCATACAGATTAAAGGAACTTTTGATGGACCTTAACTATAAATTCACAGCAATTTGCAAGATCTGCGAGACCAAAACCAAATAACACCGACAGCAAGAAGGGTCCAAAGCAACGGTGAAACCAGCAGGTGAGAAACACTCCAAAGCCTTTAAATACTCATCCTCATAAGAGCAATAAAAATGGACAATATATCCTGATTAAACACTTATCTTTTCATATATATCAGATGTTTAAATTTGTTTTTACACTTTATCTATTTAAGATACCAAGGCTTGATAATGTGGCTCTGGAGAAGCATTTGTATCCTTACTCTGACATATCCTTTGGAGGAGAAATACCTCTGTAGAAAAAATGGACAGTTTTATCCTAGTCAGTACTACACAGCTGGACCTTCAAAATGTCCAGCTGTTTACATTTAAACATCTAAAGTGACTAAAAAATGTTGTTTTTCTGTAGCCAATTTTTCTGCTGTCTGTTGTTTTTGTTATTTCTTACTGATTGTTTTCCTTTTTTAACTGAATAGGTGCTGCTCATCAGAGGCTGTCTTCTTCTTCTTCTCTTACATTATTAAATAAAATATTTTCTCCAAGTGTCTGTCTGTCTGTCATGTTTTCATCTGATTACCGCCTCAGGCACACATCTCAGGTTGCGTGAAGCATCATAACCGAGCATCTTTAGTTCCAAAATATAAAGTCTTGTCAGCTGAGTAAATGCAAAGCGGGGAAGGTATATAAGATCTAAATGGGCTCTGCAGCAGATGGTAGATGTCAATACGGTGTGTGGAGGGGGGGAGGAGCACTACTGAATAGACGGCGAACAAAACAAACAGCCTGCAGTCTGCAGGAAATTGCTGGGATTTGGTAAACTTACCTTTACAGTCCTTGGCATCATTTTTCTGATTACAAAGAAAAGCCTTAGAAATACAACAGGCTGGGTCTTAACGGTGTAGCTCTCTGAAAGGTGTGCTGGGTGTAATGCAATTGAATGGTAAACAAGTCAAAAGTTCATATATTTAAGTCTTTATAAACGCAACATTCAATATAATTAATTTGGATTATTTTGTGGTGGACCTACATAGTTTTGCATAACTCTTTGCAGACCTTTGGTCCCTCAACAAGCTGAAATGACACCAATGTTGTGCAAAAGCATGGAAACAGAAAGTATGCAGCTAGGTATTTTGTTTAAAGGTGGATGGAGCATCATGTTTTTAACAAAACGAGGACCATTTTCTGTGCAGATTTCAGCTCCTTCCTTGTTGAAAGCTTCCAATCAGTCTACATTTTGCTTATTTTTCCTCCCATCAGACAAAATTTTAGTTTTCTTACTCTTGTGTTTCTGGTCTTTTCTGACACATCTTAACATCTTGTTTTTGGAAATCTTTGGGATTTACTGGGCCGGACAATACCCTGGTGTGCAGCGTCATGGCCAGAGATTTTTG